TATCTGAGACCTGGTTTACGTCTGATTTGTCTAATATTTTGATTGATGGTTATGTTTTGTTTCGATCAGACCGTGTTGGTCATGCTGGTGGTGTCGTTATATATGTTAAACGTACCTTTAACTGTAGGGTCAAATGTAGGCAACCAACTGACAGCAAAATTGAATATATTTTTTTAGAAGTAGCCAATAAATTTCTATGCAATAAAGTGATAATTGGTTGCATTTATCGTTCTAATAGGGAGGGGTAGGCAGTAGAGGTCTGCATGGCCGCATTCAAGCATAAGCTTCACTGAGTACTTCTGAATGTTGTACTCATTTTTGAGTACAACGCATTCAGCTGATCGAGTTCGCATCTCATTCTGTACTCAATTCTGCGAAATTTTGAGTATTCATAACGCACTGAATTGAGTGAATGCGTGTGCAAAACAGAATGAATGAACGAAGGCAGCAAAGAATTCTTAGAATACTCAGAATACAACGACTGCGCAGTCATATTGCGCAGCGCGTGTTACTTTTCTGCAAGCGTTCGGCACGATGAGTTCGCAAAGTTGTGAAGATAAAAATGTAAGTAAATATATAATTATATTAATAAAAATTAAAATTAAAAAAAAATGTCATCAAATTATGTTTCCCACTGTAAGCGCACGTAAACGAATACTCATTCTCTATATTCAGCTCTGTCGGCATTCAATTCGCTCTCCCTATGTGTGAGTGTGTAGTTGTGAGTACAACGACGGCGCACGCATTTACTCAAATTCAGTGGAATTCGCAGCCGAATTCATTCAATTCACTGAGATATGAATGTCTCATATGCCGTTTTGAATTAATTCATGCAGACCTCTAGTAGGCAGATCGTTGGTCGCAATATCGATGTTGAAGAGTTGTGTCGATCGTTTTCGCAAATCGATGTGCCTGAAGCTACATCTAACCAGTACCTTATTAATATAAATCACTGTGATAATAGTTTTAGCTTTGTGTGTGTTGATCAGTGTGATGTCTTGGAGAGCATCCTTAAGAGAAAGTCAAATGCGGAAGGCCTAGACAATGTCAATCCAAAATTTATAAAAATAATGTGGCCCTTACTTCTCCCACATATTACACATATTTACAATTCTGCAATAACTACCTCCACATTCCCATCATCCTGAAAAATAGCTAAAATAATCCCAGTGCTAAAACCGAATAAAGACTATAGGCAAATTTCAATCCTTCCGTTTCTAGCCAAAGTGCTTGAAAACTTAATGACCCAACAAATTCATAAGTTCCTTGTAAGGAATGAGTTACTTTCACCAAAGCAGCCGGGTTTTCGGAAAAAGAGAAGTTGCGGAAGTGCAATAACAAATATCGTGGAAGACATTCGACAAAAACTTAACAATAACTGTGTGACTTTTTTGACCCTTCTTGACCATAGTAAATCATTTGACTCTGTCAATCACCATATTTTAAGTGCTGTAGCAGCAATAATGACGACCGTTCTGCTTCAGATCACTCGCAAGACTGTTCTTTTTATTCTTCACTTCTCTTTTTGTGTATCCTGTATATCACAGATTATCTTAGTCTGTGTGTGTGTGTACATTTGCTTAGGGCTAAAAGTGTATGTATGTGTATAAATGCTTAGGGCTACTATAAAAGTGTATGTACAAACTTATGCTTAGGGCTACTATAAAAGTGTATGTACAAACTTATGCTTAGGGCTACTACAACTCGTCCGTCCTGACCGACAAGGATCTCCTGATCCTGGTTTAGTTTTGAGTTACATTATTTTCTTTTGGTTTTGCTTCTAGTATTATACACTTTGACTACCTTATCACTACAGTGACTATCCTTTTTACTCCAAACGTTTTTATTTTCTTTAACAATTTTTCTTTCATTTGTTTCTAAGTTAGTGTTTTTATTTGGCTTATTTACTATGTGGTTTTCTACTACTTCATTCGCCTCATCAAACATATCATTTGTATTCCTTTCAATAACTCGTTCATTTGTATTTTCATTTTCTTCCCTTTCATTAGTTTCTTCATTTTCCATTTCATTTGTATCCTCATCTTCAATTTCATTTGTATCTTCATCTTCAACTTCATTTGTATCCTCATCTTCAACTTCATTTGTATCTTCATCTTCAGCTTCATTTGTATCTTCATCTTCAACTTCATTTGTATCTTCATCTTCAACCTCATTTGTATCCTCATCTTCAACCTCATCTTCAACTTTCGACCAACCAAACCAAGGCTTTATATTAGCTGCAGCCCAAACACCAGTGTATGGAATTCTAGATTGTTGAAATCCGTCGACATCTTTAACTACGTAGCGATCATTTCCTAGACATTTTACTACTTCAAAAGGTCCTTTAAACTTCGGGACAAGCTTCTTTGAAGCCCCCGTATGACAATCAAAATTTTTTACTACAACGTAGTCTCCCTGCTTATATAGTGTTGCCTTCAGCCGTTTGCTGTTTTTTGTTGATTCATTATAATTTTGTAATTGGGCTTCTCTTTCTTGGGCATTCTCCCTAATACTTTCAATTGTTCTTCCTTCCTTTTGTCCTTCCTGTAAATTTTCTCTAAGGCAGTCAACTAAACTCCCTCTCTGTCCGACTCCGAATAACATTACACTTGGATGTTGATTAATCATTCTATGAACTGTATTATTTATGGCAAACTCAATTTCCTCTAGAATCTTTTCAAAACCCCAATTCGGTTCTGAGCTTAACAATTTCGCAAGCATCGGGCCTATACTTCGATTTATCCGCTCTACCTGTCCATTAGCCTCGGGTGAACCTGTTGCTATTTGTGTATGAGTTATATTGCGATGCCTTAGAAAAGCTGAAAATTCTAAGGAGGTAAAACATGAACCTCGATCAGATACTATACTTTTGGGGATACTATATGATCTAAAATAGTTTCCCAACGCTGCAATCGCTTCAGTTGACTTTGTGGTTTTTGTAGAATATAATCTAACGAACTTTGTGCAGCTATCAACAATCACTAAAATATGTCTGGACTTCTTATCTTTTGTATTAACTGGTCCTAAATGATCAATATGTACCTGTTCAAACGGTTTTGTAGGTTTTTGAATATTGTGTAAATAGCCTTCGTGCTTGCCTTTAGCTGTAAATGCAATGCATTCTAAACAATTTTTGATATGCTGTCCTATCTTTTGCTTTAATTTAGGGAACCAGTAGGTCTTCAAAATAACTTCCAGAACTTTGTCGATACCAACGTGTCCAAGACCATTGTGGTATTTAAAAAGTACATGCGTTTCCATATCTTTTGGAACGTAAAACAATAAAGAATCATGATATTTCCTATAAATGATTCCATTTCGCATCTCATACAGTTTGTGTTCATTTCTTTCTAGTAAGTTCCTCAAGCTGACTATATTCTCATCTTTGTTTTGGCATATAATCAGATTTTCTTCAAACGAATTTGTATCTACTACCATAATGTTAGTGCATCTACTAAGAGCGTCCACGTGCTGCATTCTTGCTCCAGACCTGTGTTCTAGCCTATAATCATAGTTTTCTAGCTCTAGAGCCCAACGTGCTATTCTAGGGTTTATCTCCTTTTTTGTTAACGTGAGTGTCAGAGAATTGCAATCTGTGACAATTTTAAAACTTTTTCCGTGCAAATATACTCTAAATCGTTTGAGCGAATAAATTATTGCCAACGTTTCCAACTCGAAACTGTGATACCTCGACTCAGCATCTGTCGTACGCTTAGAGAAATAAAATACCGGGTGAAAACGCCCATCCCTTTTCTTTTGCATTAATATCGACCCAAAACCAATCGAACTCGCATCGCAGTGCAGTTCGATTTCATCTGTTGGGCTGTACAAAGCAAGTATTGGTGAGTCTATCAATTTTTCTTTTAGAATTTCAAACGTCTTTAGCTCCAATTCCCCAAACCGAAAATTTTCCTTCTTTCTCGTAACATCGTATAAAGGCTTCGCCACAATTGAAAAGTCTTTGATAAACCTGCGAAAGTAGGAACAAAGTCCTAAAAAGCTTTGTACCTCACTAGTTTTTGTTGGGATTGGAAAATTTTTAACAGCGGATATGCCTTTACCATCAGCTTTGATGCCAAATCCATTAATTGTATACCCTAGATATTTAACTTCCGTTTGAAAAAACTCACACTTACTAAGCCTCAATTCTAAATTATTACTTATTAGTCTGTCAAACACCTCATTTAAAATTTTCAGATGGCTCTTTACTTCTTTCGTTGCTATCATTATGTCATCTAAGTAAACAATAACCTTTCCTTCTCTAATTAGGTCACTAAAGACTTTATTAATAAACCTCTGAAACGTAGATGGTGCGTTTTTCAGCCCAAAAGGCATTCTTAGAAACTCAAACTGGCCAAGAGGTGTCGTGAACGAAGTGAACTTCACCGATTCCTCTTGCATAAAAACATGGTAGAATCCATTCTTTAGGTCTAGCTTAGTGAACCATTTTTTATCTGTCATTTGATCTAAGAGGTCATCTATCAATGGAATGGGATAACTGTCCTTTGCTGTTAATTTATTTAATTTTCTAAAGTCAATACACATTCTAATTTCGCCAGATGCCTTCTTCACTAGTACAATTGGCGACACAAACTCAGACTCGCTTGGTCTAATATATCCCTTGGCAATATACTCATCCAAAATCTTTTGCAATTCATTTTTCTCAGCATACGAAAGGCGTCTGGGGCTACAGCTAAACGGTTTCACGTCATTGATCGTTATTTTCATTTCGCATTTTGTTTCTGGCATAGTTGGTCGAACAGCCCCGATATAACATTTGTGAAACATATTTTCGAAAAGAACTTTATCACATGCATTTAAATTTACCCCTACATTAACGTTTTCATTATTATTTTCATACTCAATCATGCAAATTTTTGCTAGAAAATCATCATCACTATCAAATCTAATCATGTCATTCGAGCTATTTATAATCATACTTTCGTTTGTACTTTCATTTGTTAAAGTAATCTCATCTTCATTCCAGACGATGTCAGCGCCACTCGCATTTAAAAAATCTCTACCCAAGATAAATTTTCTATTCATTGAATCGTTCTCAACAACTAGCATTTCAAGTTTTATTCTTTTATTATGAATTGTAATGAAAACAAAAATTTTTCCAATGATAATTAATTTGCTGAAGTTTAAACCAAAATACGTGGCTGGTGGCGCTGACTTCAAAATAACGCTAGCCGGAACACAATTTTTCTTCATAAAGCTGATCGGGCTCCCTGAGTCTAAGAGGCATTCTATAAAAAAAGGTTCATTAAAACTACCCTCTATTTCCATACTTAAATATCTTACATAATCATCTCTGCGAGTGGCTGGGGACGACGTCTTCTTGTTTTCTTCACAGGCCGCAGCAAGGTGACCCATTTTTCCGCACACAAAACAGGCTCCAACTTCTCTTTTAGGTTTGCGGCAATCTGAGGCGATATGTCCCAAACAATTGCAATTGTAGCAGCGGAAAACTGGCTTCTCGATTTTTCCTGAATTATTATTAGCCCCTCCAGATCTTGGAGCTACTAAATTAACATGCTGTAAGGCTGACAGCAGGGCATCCTTCTCCTTGAAACACATCATGTTGGCGCTTGTGCGTATTTGACGATCGGGTATACCGTGGATGATGTAATCAATTAACTCGCACTCCGGCATTTCTAATCCATTTGACAGTGTTACTTTAGTATTAAAGTAAGAAGTGAACGATTCGTTTGTTTGCCATTTGCGTGCTTCGAGCTTCTTGCGCAGTGTAATGGCACTCTCTTTTGGTAGAAAAGCTTTCTCCATCGATGCCAATAGGGTATCAACCTTCTCATTTGCAAGCTCAGGCTTTGAGTACACCCAGGCTTGCGCATCACCTTTAACTTTGCTAAATATTAGCGACCGTAACTTATTCTCCGTTAATCCATACGTCATTTTTAATACGTTTATATGTGTGCGCCAAACACTAACATTTGTGTGGCCGTCGAAATCTGGCAACATTTCCTTTATGCTTTGAAAAGGAATTTCATCATCTTTTGTAACTTTGCACGATGTCTCTCTCTCGCTTACTCTCTCAGACGCTCTCAATAAATCGTTCTCCCTCCGCAGTAGCTCTCTCTCAAAATTCATCAGCTCCAATTCTCTGGCCATTAATTTTAATTTCTCCTTCTGGAAAGCATTTTCGATCGCCAATTTTTGTTGAATGTCGTTCAAAAAATACAATTGCTTTCCGTCCTTTGCATTCTCTTCATTGTCCTGCATTTCTTCAGATTTTTCTAGATTTTTCTGCTCGTTTTTAGCTGCTCTTTTTAATTCTGCTTTCCCTTGTCCTTCGTTTACATCAGCTTCCTTATGCTCCTCATTTGGCTCGTCGTTTGCATCTTCCTCTGATTCTCCACCTTCATCGTAGTTTGCCATCTCATTTGATTCTTCTTCTCCGTCGTTTGCCATTTCATTTGGTTCTTCCCCTCGTTCGCTCATCGTCGCTTCGTTCGGTTCTTCCTCTCGTTCGTTTATCGCCGCTTCGTTTGCTTTTTCTTCTCGTTCGTTTAGCGTCGCTTCGTTTGCTTTCTCGTCTGTTTCTGGAATATTCTGTGCATTCGCCTTTTCGTTTGATTTATTGTCTAATTCTGAAACATCCTCTGCATTCGCCGATTCGTTTAAATTTGGTTGTCTCTTTTTGTTGGAACATGTTTCGTTTGGCATACTCGGACATTTTCCGCGAAAATGCACTTCACTCAACCTTGCTGCCAACGTACTCTTACTGCCGTGAGTGGCCAAGTTAAGGGCCGAACACCAATTGCGCAGTTGGTTAATCGAAAAATCATTTGCGTTAACCGGATCCATTATAGAGTTAGTTTTTGATATAAAATCTTGCAGGAATGGCTTTTGGCACGAGGTTTTGTGCCCACTTCTGATATTGTAGCAGCAATAATGACGACCGTTCTGCTTCAGATCACTCGCAAGACTGTTCTTTTTATTCTTCACTTCTCTTTTTGTGTATCCTGTATATCACAGATTATCTTAGTCTGTGTGTGTGTGTACATTTGCTTAGGGCTAAAAGTGTATGTATGTGTATAAATGCTTAGGGCTACTATAAAAGTGTATGTACAAACTTATGCTTAGGGCTACTATAAAAGTGTATGTACAAACTTATGCTTAGGGCTACTACAGTGCCAAACTAAAAAACAACTTTAATTTTTTATGTACTGCAGTTCGAAGAATCCTATCTTCGTGAAAGGCTCCAAGCAGTGGTTGTAGGTGCTAGGATTTCCAGTTTCTGCCAACTCATATGTATAAATCCCAGTAAATCAAAGTGCATAGTAATTGCCAAAAAGCCGATTGATACAACGAACGTTCCTAATCTAGCTATTAATGGAACGCTGATTCAATTTAAACAGAGTGCAGTAAACTTAGGATTTACATTCAGTAACACTCTTAGCTGGAGCAAACATATATCAAAAGCTATAGGGCGAACATACGGTATGCTGAGGCAGCTGTCATATTCCGAGTCATTTCTCCCGATCCAAATAAGGCTTTTAGTAGCCAAGGTTATTCTAATACTGTATTAACCCGGTAATTTTCTCGCTTTGTGCTGCACACTCTGCCTCGCCGAATAAGACTGACTTAGCTTTTACAATGACAGTCCCAACAGAATGTTAATCCAAAGCCAACTTGATTAGCTCTCTCCTAGCCAGAAGTCATCGGAAGTACACGTTCCCACATCCCTCCCTTATTGCGTCAATAAGGGAGGGATGTGGGAACCTGTACTTCAGCTTCAGGCTTTCTTTGGAATCCGATGTCGTCTCAGTAGTCGCTTCCATTTCCTTAGATGTCTCCGGTGTCCTGAAGTTGGACGACGTATTCAGTGATGTCAAAATTCGGTGTAAGCTTGTGAGGTAATATTACATTTTTAAGAAAAACCTTGTTGCCTACTTTAACATCAATCTCCCTCGCCCCTCTCCTCTTGTCGGCATATTCTTTCCCTTTTTATTTGTTTACTAAATCACGGTCTCTTTCTGCTGAATCACTGTATTCTCCTATCAAATCCTGAACCCCCGGGATTTTGTATCTTATCACTCGATTGAAAATCAATTCTGTTGGCGCAGACCCTGTGGTTCCATGGGGAGTAACATTATACATCATAACAAGTGATTGAATTTCTTCCCTGAGATTATTCTTGTTGGTGTAAGCAATTTTCAGCCTTTTCACTAACGATCTGTTCATGTTCTCAACTTCCCCATTAGCTTGAGGCCAATAAGGTGGCGATGTTACTTGCTCTATTCCGCATTGCTTACAATATTCTTTAAATTCTGCACTGACATATTGTCTTCCATTGTCAGTTTTTAACTGTTTAGGGTAACCTAATCTGGAGAAAATTTCTTTCATGACTCCGATTAACGAAATTGATGAGATCGATTTAAGAAATTTGTATTCCATATACCTCGAATAATAGTCGATGAAAACTAAAATGTGTTCGTGGTTTAGCAATGGTCACAAAAGGCGTTCCACGATTCATCCTGCAGGCACGACATTGCATCTACTATCTCTTCGTCGAGAGTGCTTTTCTCTGCAATTTCAGTTATAGTGATGGACGACGGAGTTGCGTTTTCAACTACATGTAGAATGCTATGTTCGCCTTTCATGTCGTAGCAATACCCTGGGTTTATTTTACATAGTCGCGAAAAGATATCCGCAATGCTCTCCTTTCCAGCTTTATACTTGACTACGAATTTGAAAGCTTGGAGGCGGAGGATCCATCTTTCGATCCTTACCGGTGGTTTCGAAGATGCTTTGAAAATGGTCTCCAGTGGCATATGATCGGTTATCAGTTCAAACTCTAGGCCCGCTAGGTAGTAGAACAATTTGTCTACAATGATAGACTTTCCTTTTCGGTCTGTGAATAGAGCTTTTCGACATCTGTCAGGCTTCGACTAGCGAAAGATATTATTTTCGGCACCTAGTCTCCATGAAATTGTAGCAAAACAGCTCCTAATGCAACCGGGCTTGCGTCTGCAATTAACTGTGATTTGTGCTTTGGATCGAAGTACTGCAATTTTGGAATATCCGCTAGGCATGATTTGAGTCTGTCAAACGCATCCTGTTCCTCAACGCCCCAGATGAACCTTTCATCCTTTCTGAGCAGTTGTCGCAGCGAGTCAGTTTTATTTGCTAAATCTGGGATAAACTTTCCCACATATGTTACTAGCCCTAGAAAACTCCGAGTCTCTTCCTTGTTCTTTGGAGGGCGAAAAGATTTAATTGTGTTAATCTTCTCTGGATCGGCCTCAATGCCTTGGCTCGATAATATGTGTCCCAAAAAGGTCAGTTTATTTAATACCTCATTGTTTTCTTTTAGAATGCCGCAAAATCTTTCCAACGCCGCATCGTGCTCATCCTCAGTTTTTCCAAAAACGATAATGTCATCGATGTAATTTAGGACATTCGTGGATGCTGACAGTACTTGCTGAAGTCTCCTCTGGAAAATCTCTGGCGGCGAGTTGACTCCAAACATCAATCGCTTATAACGAAATAGTCCTAAAGGAGTTATAAACGTTGTTATTTCTCGACTTTCCTCGTCTAACTCGAGTTGGTGGTATGCGTCCTTGAGGCCCAGCCTTGAGAAATATCTAGCATCTTTAAGTTGGGTCATGAACGCTTCAAATGTCGGCAAAGGATAATTTTCCCTCAGAATGGCTTGGTTTGCTCGCCGCATATGCAGGCATAATCGGATGTCCTCATTCTCTTTAAAAACCAGAACCATTGGCGAAATCCAGACACTGGGTCCATTTACAGGTTCAATGATATCTCGCTTCAGTGCATCCTGGATTTTACCGCGAACCTTGTCTTCCAGCAGGACTGGTATCCTTCGCATGGGCTGTTGTACTGGCTTTATGATATGATTTATTGCCAATTTGACCCTGTCCCCCTTCCACTTCGGAAAAACTGATACCTCCTGTATATGGTTCACCTGCAGTCCTAGTCGTAGTACATCCAACTTAATGGCCGTTTCTCTTCCCAGCAATGACTGCTTCCCTTTTTCAATGACGAAAAAGGAGGCAATCATTTCCGCTTGTTTACCAATAGAAATTGGTGCCTTAAATACGCAAATTACATTTAATATTTGGTCTGAAGCATAACCTTTGAACTGGTTCTGGGAGTTTGGGCGAACGTTGAATATTGTGGCTTTGTTCCTTTTCAGGATGACCCTGTCGTCTTGACAGATGAGATTATAGCGAGAACCAGAATCAATAATCATAGATATGTCTGCCCCACCAATCCGGCATTTAATCCATTCTTCTTGATGTTCTCAATTGATTTTGAAACAACCCTCCGTCTTTGACCTTTTAGTGGAGGAAAATGTTTCGTGTTGGTTTCTCGATCTCGGTTGAAAATGTCCCCTTTTTAACTTCGTTCTACATTTACGTTCAAAATGGTCAAGACGACCGCAACGATTACATTTCGACTTTCGAGCTGGACAAGTTGAGCAGTCATCTTTGTGGTCAACACGTCCACATCTCCCGCATTCGGAATTTCGCTGTGGTTTACTTATCGAGACTTTATTTACCGGCTCCGCTGTATTCCTTGTCATCATCGCAGATTCATTTTTTATTTCCTCGTCAATTTGACAAGCCTCAATTACTTCATCCAGTGAGTGTTCTTTCTCTAATAGTTTCCTTTTTAGGTCGCCTGACGCCCATGTATCGATTACTTTGTTTTTAAGGCAAATCTCTTCCATCTCAGCTTTTGTTGATCCAAACTCGCACTTCTTAATTTGTTGTCTAAGACGCAGTACAACTTTGGCAAAGCTTTCGTCATCAGATGGAGTCAAACCCCTGAACATATGCCTTTCGAAGGACGAGTTTTTCTTTGGGGAGAAAAACGCTGTTAACTTGTCTACCAATACCTGGAATACATCGTTTTGTTCAACTTCGTTGAATTCGACCAAAGCGTCGGGTAGTGAAAACGCTACTGCTTGTAGCTGCGTTCCACCTAGATGGAGTAGTTTAGTCCTCTTTTTCTTGGCGGCAGTAATCTCCTCTGATTCAACGTAGATCTGGAATGCTCTCAACCATTTCTCCCACTCGCTACAAAGCAGTGCTTTGTCAATGCTTTCGCACAAGAATGGTTTAATGAATAACTCCGCGTTCATCTGAACAAAATTTTGAATTTCTTTCACTTAATCAGTTCCTTTAACATGCATATATTTATATGTACATACGTTGACCAACATTGATCAACATTTATACACATGTATCTGCCTTCTCGCTACTGCCCTTATTTTAGTTTTCCTTTCTTTTATTTTAATGTCTTTGACATTTGTCAGCTTAGTGTGTGCGTGTCTGTCTCTACTGCCCCTGACCTTGGTCAGCTTAGTGAGTTTTTTTTTAATATTCATTTATTACACAAAAATATTTATTCTTACAACTCGCTAACAAAAAACAGAAAATGAGAATGACAGGGCAAGGGGCCCGCGATTGTGCGGTACGGCCGCAAAGCAATGCTTCGCACATCGGTAAGCCGCTCAGCCAGTCTGCTCCTTCCTCGATCTCTCCAGGGCCCTGAGAGATCTCATCAGCTTGGCAGCGAACTCTGCCGCCGCCTCCCATGTCCTCGGGTCCGCCAGCATCTGCGGCACCAGCGTATCCACACTGATGGCTGCACCTGCTATCGCCTCCAGCTCGTCCCTTTCCTCGTCGAACCGGCGGCAGTCCTAGATGACGCGGCCGGCATCCTCTGTTATCCCGGATCCACATTCCGGGCAGCTTTCCTCCGCGTCATGGCCAAACCTCTTAAGGTAGCTACGGAAGCATCCATACCCGCTCAGCACCTGGGTTAGGTAAAAATCTACCTGTCCGTTCTTCCGCTTTGGGATCATCCTGTGGGTCGAGCGACCTTTAGACGAGGCATCCCACCGGGCCTGCCTTTTCAGCTCAGCATGTCACGAATGTCCGCCTTCTCGCGGATCAGCTCCCTCAGAGGGACACACCTGCTTACACCAGCACCGCGTCGTCCAAGATGGTTCGGAAGGCGCTCGCCACTGGAATGGCACAGAGTCTATACGTTGACTCGATACCCCGCATATAGGACTTCTTTCCAGCCGCCCACACTGGTGCCGCATACAGCAATTGGGAGGTGATGACGCTGGTCAGCAGCCTCCTTGTGCTCTGCTTAGGTCCCCTTTTGTGGTGGAGTAGTATATACTGACATTCCAATTTGGTGCATTGTTGCCCATGCTTGGCTGCATTTTATACCTTCTGCCAGGTGCTGTCACTGCCGGCCACTATGGCTCAGACGCAGACCGGGTAGCCGCCCATTATGGGACAGACGCTACCTGGATTTAGTGGCAGTTTTTGATGCAGCGAGTATTAATGGAACGCTGATTCAATTTAAACAGAGTGCAGTAAACTTAGGATTTACATTCAGTAACACTCTTAGCTGGAGCAAACATATATCAAAAGCTATAGGGCGAACATACGGTATGCTGAGGCAGCTGTCATATTCCGAGTCATTTCTCCCGATCCAAATAAGGCTTTTAGTAGCCAAGGTTATTCTAATACTGTATTAACCCGGTAATTTTCTCGCTTTGTGCTGCACACTCTGCCTCGCCGAATAAGACTGACTTAGCTTTTACAATGACAGTCCCAACAGAATGTTAATCCAAAGCCAACTTGATTAGCTCTCTCCTAGCCAGAAGTCATCGGAAGTACACGTTCCCACATCCCTCCCTTATTGCGTCAATAAGGGAGGGATGTGGGAACCTGTACTTCAGCTTCAGGCTTTCTTTGGAATCCGATGTCGTCTCAGTAGTCGCTTCCATTTCCTTAGATGTCTCCGGTGTCCTGAAGTTGGACGACGTATTCAGTGATGTCAAAATTCGGTGTAAGCTTGTGAGGTAATATTACATTTTTA